TGAAAAGATTACATGACACCCCATGTAGAGGTGGTACAAATGTGTAATGAGTTTTGTTAAATTGTCTTGAACGGATTAGAAGTTATAGTCTAGAAAAACAAAGTCCTTGATTTAAAATTGACCTTGATTTGTGACCTTGACTTTGGAGCAGTGGTACTGAAAACTGTATGGGACACTCCATCTACTGATGATGCATACGTGTATCATGTTTCATTTAATCATCTTGAGAAGATCCGAAGTTAAAGTCTAGACCAGCAAAGACCTTGTTTTAACTTTGACCTTTGACCTTAGGGCAGTGGTAAGGAAAACTGTACGGGACACTCTGCCTCGTGATGATGCATACATGTACTGCACCTTCCTGGTTAGTAGGCGCAAACGTAAAAAGGCCGAAGAGGGCAACACAGAGGGAGCTCAAAGTGCCGAGGGGGAAATTAAAGAGGCGGCTCGGCTCAACCGCAGGTTAGCCAGGAGCGCAGCGGACAGGAAGTGGTTAAAGAGGAGCCGAGGAGGCGGGCGAGCGGCCGTCGCAGGACTTACGGACGCTGCGGCAGACAGCCAGGCAGTACTCCTTCGACTCAAAGTTATTCCGGTTGCCTCCACAGCCGCCGTAGAAAAAGGCGACGCAGCCGCCCTCCTGTCGGTCAAAGTACCAGCGGGGCAGCATGGCCCGGCACGGACCGGTCTCTGCGTCGGCCCAGCACACATCTTGGGAAACACACACTCACTCGTCATTAACCAGAAAACAGTAGACTCAGACGTTTTGTGTCCATCGGCGATGGAAAACGTGTCTTCAATTCAAAGAGTAAGGAGTTGAACCGTCGTCAGCGGCGCCGCGTGGAATTTCAGCTACTTTAACCCCAAAATGGACTCATCGCGGTTCTAATGAAGCCGATGATGAATGAGCGGGAAAATGTTGCCATTTTCAGATAATTCCACATTTTTGGCACTCTCCAACTTTTTTCAGCCTAATTCAGCAAAAATGTGCTTCTTTCTGGTAATTTAGGCTTCTTTTTGCTTTTTTAGCTACTTTTCAGCTGTTTTTTTTTTTTGCTAATGTCTTGTGTTTTTTAAAGATAATTTCCACTTTTATATGCTCATTTCTGCTTACCGGTATTTCAGCCTTAATGGGCAAACGTGTTCTTTCTTCCTTTTTATGTAAATTTAAGCTTGTTCTATAGTTTCAGTTAGATTTTAGCTTCTTTTTTTAAGCTAATTTCAGCTGTTTATTTGATAAATTCAAGTTCTTTCTGCTAATTTCAGCTTGTTATACTCCTTTCAGCTTATTTCTGCTGGTTTCAGTTGTTTCAGCTACTATTTATCCGTTTTTATGCTAATTCCAGCTTTTTCAGCTACTATTTAGCTGTTTTTATGCTAATTCCAGGTTTTCAGCTAATTCTACTTTTCCACTCATTTCAACATTTTTCAGCCCAAATCAGTTAAAATGTGCTCTCTCCACTTCATTCTAGTAATTTAAGCTTCTTCCTGCCTTTCCAGCTACTTTTCAGCTGTTGTTTTTTTTTTTGCTAATGTCTTGTGTTTTTTAAAAGATAATTTCCACTTTTATATGCTCATTTCTGCTTACCGGTATTTCAGCCTTAATGGGCAAACGTGTTCTTTCTTCCTTTTTATGTAAATTTAAGCTTGTTCTACAGTTTCAGTTAGATTTTAGCTTCTTTTTTTAAGCTAATTTCAGCTGTTTATTTGATAAATTCAAGTTCTTTCTGCTAATTTCAGCTTGTTATACTCCTTTCAGCTTATTTCTGCTGGTTTCAGTTGTTTCAGCTACTATTTATCCGTTTTTATGCTAATTCCAGCTTTTTCAGCTACTATTTAGCTGTTTTTATGCTAATTCCAGGTTTTCAGCAAATTCTACTTTTCCACTCATTTCAACATTTTTCAGCCCAATCAGTTAAAATGTGCTCTCTCCACTTCATTCTAGTAATTTAAGCTTCTTCCTGCCTTTTCAGCTACTTTTCAGCTGTTGTTATTTTGCTAATGTCTTGTGTTTTTTAAAAGATAATTTCCACTTTTATGTGCTCATTTCCGCTCAACGGTATTTCAGCCTTACTGGGCAAACATGTTTCTTCCTTTTTATGTAAATTTAAGCTTGTTCTAGATTTTTAGCTAAATTTGAGCTTTTTTTAAGCTAATTTCAGCGGTTTATTTGATAAATTCTTCTTTCTGCTAATTTCAGCTTGTTATACTCCTTTCAGCTTATTTCTGCTGGTTTTAGTTGTTTCAGCTACTATTTAGCTGTTTTTATGCTAATTCCAGGTTTTCAGCCATTTCTACATTTTTCCCACTCATTTTATCTTTTTTCAGCCCAAATCAGTAAAAACGTGCTCTCTTTACTTAGTTCTGGTAATTTAAACTTCTTCATGCTTTTTCAGCTACTTTTCAGCTGTTTTTTGTTCATTTCAGCTTTTCACTTTTTTGTGCTAATTTCTACTACTTTGGGCCTAATTCATCAAATATGTGTTCTTTCTGCTTTATTCTGCTAATTTAAGCTTGTTTTATCTTTTCAGCTACTTTTTAGCATTTTTAGCTAATTTCAACCGTTTTCAGATTAAAAAAAAAAAAGTTTTTCATGGCAAATTCTTTTACATTAACTTCTTTCTCCTAATTTCAGCTTATGTTCTTTCAGCTGACTTTTGCTAGTTTCAGCTTTTTCTACTATTTCAGCTACTATTTAGCGGTTTATGATAATTTCAGGTTTTTCAACTAATTCCACATTTTATTAGCTTATTTCATTCCTTCTGGTAGTTTAAGCTTCTTTTGCCTTTTCAGCTTATTTTTATTTATTAATTTTTTTGTTTACATTTAGCTAATTTCAGCTTTTTGAGCATATTTACTGCTCATTTCTACTTCTTTAAGCCTAATTCAGCAAATTTGTGTTTTTTCTGCTTTCTTCTGCTAACTCGGGCTTGTTTACATTTCAGCACGTTTTTAGCAAATTTCAGCTCCTTCTGCAATAAACATTTAAACAAATTAACTTTCTGTAGTTAATATTTATTATGTTAATATTTATTATGTTAATATTTATTTATCAATCTTTTAGAGCCATCTTAGCTTAATTTTAAGAATTTTAAACTCTTTAAGGGTCTTTTTTATTTTTTTTAAAAACTCAAGTTTTTCAAAAATCGGCTAAATATTTATTGTACAGCAGTTTTTTTATATTTTAATATAAAAAGCCATTTTACTCCCATTAGTACGCCCAAAATGATCTTTTTATTTTTATTTCTAGACTACAGTTTTGTAAAGTCCCCCCAGCCCACCGGACCTTTTCGATCCAGTAGCCGAAAGCGAGGCCTCGGTTTTAGTCAAACTTTACGCAGGTTGTGGGCTGAAAGTAGAGTTTTTCAAATATTTTTATTTTAAGTTATTTTAATTCTACTCCTGCTAGAAACACGAGTTTGTGATTTATTGTTCGCTCGTACTGATCCGGACATACGAGCGAGCTGTGGTGCACCCGCTAACCACGTCCTGCTGTGGGGGAAGCTAACGACAGTTAGCTGGTCTGAGCCGTTGTCCGATGCCGCAGCCTGCATGCATGCGGAAAAGATTTCGGTCGTGCTAAACGTTTCTTGTGCAACCTGAAAATGAGTTTTCTGGATTATTTCACAAAAAGTTAAAACAGTTTTTCCCCCTTTAAGGTCTTCCGAGGGTTAATGTGCAAACGAGCGTTTCTGATGAAAAACAAAAGCCTCACCCCGGACGACTTCCTCCACGGACTCGGTGGTGGTTGTTGTGGTGGTCGTCATGGCAACGTTGGTAGTGAGCTCGTCGTCGTCGAGCGTGTCTGCGATGTCGTCATCTGCATCCTCCTCGTTGTCCTCCTCCTCGTCCTCCTGCCCATCTCCGTCCTGGTCATTGTCCAGCACGTCCTCGTCTTCCTCCTCCTCGCCGTCTTCCTCGGGCACCTCCTCCTCCACCTCCTCCACCTCCTCCACCACAGATGGTTTGGCTTCTTCCTGCTGCACCGCTGGCTCCGGCACCATGCTGGCAGGAGTGGGGGAGACACGAATGGAGGAGTCGTCCTCGTGTTGTGAACATCACCCGAGCTCATTCGTGTAAATGCGCACCTGTTGTCGGAGTAGTCGGTCTCCAGGCCGCCCCACCACACGTCGTCGTCGTCGTCGGTGTCCCGCTCGGCGCTGTCGGCGTCGCGCTCCGCCTCGGCGGGGCAGCACACGAACTCCACCCCTCGGAAACGGTCGACGCCACAGGGCAACAGCATCCCGTAGTCGTGGAGGTTCATGCTGCGGTCTCCGCAGGACTGCACGGGCGCAGAGCAGACGAAAAACAAATCAAAACACAGCAGCTAAAACGCAGCAGCTAAAACGCAGCAGCTAAAACGCAGCGTGGATGAATTCTTCTGAGACGGGTTCAAATATAAACTGTTAATGTGAGCTGAATTTGAACAGATCACATGCGTTGAAAGCAAGAAAATAAAAGCTGAAAGCAGCAGAAAAACAGCTGAAATAGGCAGAGAGGCTGAATAGAATATGCAAAAGCTGAAGTTAGCAAAAGAAAGTAGCTGAAAAAGCTACAAAAAAAAGCAGAAGAGGCAAAAAGGAGCTTAAAAGGTTGAATTATTCACAAAAATCACAAAAGGCGAAAAGTAGCAAAATAGCAGGAAAAATGCTAAATTTAGCTGCAAAACAGCTAAAAAGTAGCTGAAAAGGCTGAATTTAAAAGCAAGAAGCTGAAAAGAGCAGACAAAAACATTAAATTAGCAAAAAAAAAAGTAGCTGAATAAAGCTAAAAAAAAAAAAGGATGAAATTAGCACAAAAAGGCTGAAAATGTATTTTTACAAAAAATAAAAATACTGGTAGTAACAAAGCAAACAGGCGAAAATGAGCAGAAAAGCATAATTAAAAAAGCAGCTGAAAGGCTGAAAAAAAAGTTGAATTTAGCTGAAAAAGCTACAAAAAAATGCAGAAATTAGCAGAAAAGTCGGAAAGGAGCTTAAAAATTTGAATTATTCAAAAGAATCGCAAAAAGTAGCAATATAGCAGGAAAAATGCTAAATTTAGCTGCAAAATACCTAAAAAGTAGCTGAAAAGGCTGAATTTGGAAGCGAGAAGAGCAGACAAAAACATTAAATAAAAAAAAAAAAGTAGCTGAAAAAAGCTTAAAAAAAAAGGATGAAAATGTATTTTTACAAAAAAGAAATAAAGCAAACAATAGGCTAAAATTAGCAGAAAAATACCCTTAAAAGTAGCTGAAAGGCTAATTGAATTTGGCAGAAAAAAGCTAAAAGGAGAAGAAAAATAGCTGAAATGAAACAGAAACAGGTTTTAAACAGGTTCTCCATTCATTTTCAGTGATAAAAACATGGCCGACAAAGCTAAATATTTCAAAAATGGACGTGAACTTCCGAGGACCTGGCGTCCACACATGCACGAGTTCGGGTCTTCGGACGGTTTAGAAACGTTCAGGTCGTCGGAGCTGAACACCGTCGGTGTTTCTGTCTCGTTGCAAACGTCCGATTCATCAAGGTCAAATAAAATTAAAATAAAACAAACCACGCCCAAATATCATTTGATGAAGTCGTAAAAGATGAAACTTAGTAGAATTAACTTCTTCTGAGTTCGTCAGTTAGTGTTTTTATTACGGTGCGTTTTACTCTTTTAATTTGTACATCTTTTATTTTATCCAATCCATCCTTCAGACATGGACAACGTATGGCCCATGGGCCAAAAGTGGCCCTTGAGCAATCTTCATCCGGGCCCCACAATATCTTCAACTGAAAAGAAAACAAGAGTACTGCATGGCACAATGAACACCTGTCAACAAAATATTATACAGCAAATCTACAACAATAACCCGGACAAGCAAAGAACAACCTTTTTGTCAAAACATTTAATTTGTGACCTTGACCTTAAAGCTGGAGTGATGAGATTATGCGACACTTCGTCTATTGATGTCTACGTGCATCAAGTGTCATTAAATCATTTTTATTTGTTTAGAAGTTATGGCCCAGATGATGCAAAAACGTTGTGTTAACATTGACCTTGATTTTTGACCTTGAGCTGAAATGATGAGATTTTGAGACACACAGTCTACTGATGATGTATATACGTGCATGTCATTAAATCAGCAGATCAGAAATTATGTCCCAGACAAGCAAAGTCTATGTGTTAACTTTGACCTTGATTTGTGACCTTGAGAGTGGAGCTGGGATGATATTAAGCAACACAGTCTACTGATGTCTACGTGTATCAAGTGTCATCAAATCATCTTGAGTGGATCAGAAACAAAAAGACCTTGTGTTAACCTTGACCTTGATTTGTGACCTTGATAGTGGAGCTGGGATGATTTTAAGCAACACAGTCTACTGATGTGTATGTGTATCAAGTTTCATTAAATCATCTTGAGTGGATCAGAAACTAAAAAAGACCTTGTGTTAACTTTGACCTTGATTTGTGACCTTGATAGTGGAGC